CGACAACATGGCCGACAGAGAGGCTCGACGCGAGTCACGTGGTACTCAGGGTTCCAGGAGGCGGCCCGCCCTATGGGAGAATACATGGAGATCGACACAACATGGCTGATTAAAAAATAAATGGCGAATTCACACTTTTTAAAACTAGTCTGCCATAAAGTTAGTAAAGCACTAAACACTTTATCAAAGTTTTAGTAATATCGGATGCGTGTGTAAATTTTGAGAAGGCAATTTCCAAGGCAATGGCGTTTGAAGCAGACGACTTTTGCTCGCAGCGGAGATAGGCTTTTCGGGTTGGCCAGAGCGGGTCACGTGAACGGAGTGACGTCGCCGTGTCGTCTGCGGCATAATGCCGCTCGGGCAATTTTTTAAAAAAAGTTACGTCCTTACGTGGCACAAAACTTAGCGCAAATTATTCTAAAATGTTCCATCATTATGTCAAAAATAATTGCCATTCTGTACATCTCCACAATACTGAAGAAACAGCGATTGTCTTACGTTCTCCATGCATTTCTGACCGGAGTAGGAACCTCCGGGCGTTCGCCGCTAGTCGCCGAGAGACGGCGTTCTAGATTGCGCTACTCTGCTCCGAAGGAGATATATGGTGCTCCAGTCGGAGGTATTCTTCGATCTCCCGCGGGCCTTCACCGTAGCGCGGACGTGGATCGTTCGGATGGAAGCCACGCAGCCCTATTTGCCGGTATCGGCGGTAGATATGGTCGGCTTCCCCGCAGTGGTCACACAACGGGCGTCGATCGGCCATCCTCCACACGTCGGTTTTCCTCGGCGATAGTCGTTCCGAGTGGACATACTGAACTTCTTCCGCGCGTCGAGGGTGCAACGAGATCGGTGTGTCTGGCCGTGGTGGCGCCGTGGCTTGGCGGTTAGCTTGCGGAGGTCGTCGGGCCATGACGGCGTGGCTCAACGTCGGTTCCTCTGGCGTCGTCCTGTTGATCGGAACTTCAGGTTGGAAGGCTCTATGAACCTCCTCTCGAACAACCTCGGCGAGTGACAGTGAGGATGGCCGATCCGCGACGAGGAGCATCTTCCGGAGTTCTCCCCGGACGATGCCGCGGACGAATTGCCAAAGGCCGTCGACACTGGCGGTGTTCAGGTCCAGTCGGCAGAATGCGACGGTTGGAGGAGCAGGTACGCCGGCGAGTCGATGGTAATGGCTTGCTCGGGCCGACAGCGCGCGCTCGGTGTTAGTGGCTTCAGCCAAAAAACCGTCGATGGTTGTCGGGGGACTGCGAACAAGGCCCCCGAATATTTCAGCCTTCACGCCACGCATGAGGACGCGAAGCTTTTTCTCCTCGGCTACCTACGGATCGGTTCGGGCACATAGGCGCATGACATCCTCAACGAAGCTGGTCACGCTTTCGTTGGGGCCCTGCACCATTGTTTGGAGTTGGTCCTCCGCTCGCTGCTGACGGTGGTGGTTGAGGAACGTTCGCTTCAACTCGGCGGCGCAAGACTCCCACGTAATGCCGCGCCCGCAGCTGGCAAAGTAGGCAGCGCGCGCTTGAATTAACGGTTATATTGCCTGCCTCCCACGCGAAAAGCAAGGGTTCGATTTTTGGGAGTGGCGCATATTTTGTTCCTTTCTGCAATTTAGTATTCTGGTAAATTCGAGAATCCTGTTGGCGTGTTCGAAGTACGAATATTCTACGCGTCGATCCTTTTACGCCGATCATTCCAGAAGCTCACGCGTGTACATAAGGGGCTTCGCGTGGCGAGCCAAAGTCAGTTTCGCCTCAGCGTTCGATCCTGCTGCTTCGCCGCCTTCGATGCCGTCGACGCTCTGTTGTTATCTTCTTTTTTTTTCTCCTCTATTTTTGGGCACAAGTTCGCCCCATTAAACATTTCAGTTTGCCCAGTTATTCTATGTTTCATTAACGGTTAATTCGTGACATTTTGGTGGAGACGTGGTGTACCGCATGTCCGTGCAGCGCTCCCCTCCAAAGTCCCGCAGTGCAAGTCCGAACCCAATCCTCCGAGGACCCAGCGAACACGATACCGAGATCCGATCAAGTCGCCGCAACCTTGGCCTACCCCCGGAATTAGGACCCTTGCCCCCCAAGACCAAGCCGAAAAAGACGACGATGGCCAACCAGGCGCAAACCCCGGCCGCTTCTGCAGTCGTATACACCAACTCATGTTTACAAACAAACCGGAGCGCCCCTGGCTGACGCCCCCGGCGCCGCGCATGCGCGATGGGGGTGTGTGCAAGAAGCTCGTCATCGCCCATGAACAAACCATTGGAATGCGATGTTTTCGGCGTCGGTGTGAGTCCCCCTGCCCTTTTTCGCGTTCGAATTGTTGATTCTACGTCTTCCTGGCGATGTCTGACTACTTGAGCGGCGTCAGCGAAATTACCGAGGCTCGTTACACCACAAAACTTCGCGTGAATAATGTGACATGTGACGATTCATTCCGCGTGGACGCCGCAGTATGTACGCCAAAGCCTGATTCGCATGATGCGATTTCGCTCGCAATTTTCAGTCACGACGCTGCTCGGGCTCTAAAAGCGTGAACCGTAGCTGTGGTGGTCGAAGTGGATACTGAAAATCGCAAGTAGAATCGGACCAGGTGAATTAGGGATAACAAGTCGGTCATGGCCACTGGTAACAATGATTAACATCTTCTTGTATCTACTGTTTACATTGAGCCTGCTTACCAAACTTCAAATTTAAGTCTTTTGAGGCCTGCACTTACTTCGTATCGCAACTACCGGGCAAACATTTGGTCTACGGGCCGGCGTCGTCTAAGAGTCAAAAAAACTGCTCCGACTTTACTCAACAAGATTAACAATTTAATCAAACGTTTCGTCTCCCATGCAGGAAACATCATCAGTGAAACCTACAAGCAGGAATGAGGGAAAAAACTTCAACAGTCCTATTTAAGCAAGTCCGCGCACACATCGGGGAGGGGGCCGCGGTTCGAGTTGCAAGCTGATGAGTCACTTCGGATGAACCATGATTCCACGAACCTGCGTGGACCCCACCTTTGTTCGCGCGCCAGAGTGGACGCATTCTCAAAGTCGAAACAGTGACCAGTATTCCAACAATGGTCTACGAGTTCCGTCTTCGCTCTTGTCGCATGCGTGGCCTTCGCCACGTCCCTTTTGTGTTCGTTTAAGCGAGTGCAGCGCTTCCGGTCTGTCTACCCAATGTAGGATGCGTCACAGTCTAGACAATTCACTTTATACACAACACCGCATTGGGACTCTGGGGGAGTGTAATCTTTAGGTTTAGAAATGAGGTCACGTAGTTTACGTTGGGGTTTGAAAGCAGTGCGGATATTCAAAGGGGCGAGGGCCCTGCGAATAGACTCAGAAACACCTCTCAAATAGGGTATTGTTAGTTGCCCTGTCCTAAGTCGTCCATTATCCTGACTTCTTCTTTGGCCCATCTGTTAGCGCGTGTTATCAATAAAACGTTTCGGATAATTCCGCTTCATCAACAGGTCAACAATAACAGCATCCTCAGAAGCGCGCAATTGAGGATTAGAAGAAATGCGTTCGGACCGATGTAGTAAGGTTTTTACGACAGCCCTTTTATGTTCGTGAAAAAATTGTAAGGGTGCAGGCGAGCTGGTGGAAGTTAACCATAGTTTTGTTTAACCCGAGACTGGGGTATTTCGGAAAAGGGACGAGAAGAAAAGAGGCCACAAGGAGGCGACGTCTGACGTCTCTTTTGAGACGTCGCCTCCTTGTGGCCTCTTTTCTTCTCGTCCCTTTTCCGAAATACCCCAGTCTCGGGTTAAACAAAACTATGGCTTTTATGTTCGACAGAATGGTGCGAGTTAAAGTTTAAGAGGTTGCCTGTATCGCAAGCTTTGCGGTACACTGTTGTATCTAAGCGACCGTTACTATGTCGGAACACATTAACATCCAGAAAAGGCAGCGCACCGTTCTGTTCAACTTCATGTGTGAATTGGATTGATGATTCAACGTTGTTTAAAGCTAAATGAAAGTCAGCAACATGGTCCTTGTTTAAAATTACAAAAGTGTCGTCCACATAACGTTTGTAAAACCCTATCGGGAGCATACTCTGTTCAAGGACAGTTTCCTCCACATACTCCATAATCAGATTTGCCATTGTAGCAGAAATTGGGCTACCTATTGGACATCCTTCAATTTGGTGATAAATTTGTCCGCGAAACATAAAAGGCGATTGTTTAAGACAAAAACGCAGCAAAATTACAATATCATCCACCGTTAACGATGTGCGTGATGGGAGGCTGTCATCCCTACGTAGGCGTGTTTCGGCTATCTCAACAGCCCGAGAGGTAGGGACATTCGTGAACAAGGACACAACATCAAATGAAACCATTATGTCGTCTTCGTCTAGGACGTGATCCCGAACCAGGCCCACGAATTCTTGGGAATTCCGTACTGTTAAACCATTTTTACCTGTGACCGGAGTGATGAGTTCGACCAGATATTTTGACAGATTGTACGTCGGAGACCCAATAAATGAAACAATAGGACGCAACGGGCACTCGGGCTTGTGAATTTTGGGGAGACCGTACAATTTAGGTGTAGACCCGTCAGAAGAAAAAAGACGACGGTACATGGCATCGTCTAGGCGTTTCTTCTTTTTTAGATCCCGGAGCTTATCAACAAGGGGTCTCTCAGATTTAGGAGTGGGGTCCCGGGGTAACATCACAAAATGCGCTGTGTCGTCAAGAATTACCTGCATTTTTTCATAGTAACTTTCTTTATCGAGGATAACAGTGCCTTTCCCCTTGTCAGCTGTAAGAATAATAATTGATTGATCCGATTTAAGATCCCGTAGTGCCGACTGCTCCACCTTGCTCAGATTCGATGCCGTCACTTTAGCATTATTAAGCATAGTCGATATGCGGCTGCGGGCCAGATTGATCCCGGTCGTATCCTGTAGGTGACGAAGTGCCTCCTCAATTTCAATTATAAAGTCTCTTCTGGGAACTACACGTGGGGCTAGAGCGAAATCAAGTCCTTTCGAAAGAAGACTTACATGACCTGCGGAGAGCTCTTTCGATGACAAGTTGTAGACCGCTGATGCCGGTGGTGTGGGGACCTTTGGAATTAGTTGGGACAGTTTCTTGTCATGGGTATCCGTGCATTTGACCCTTTCCATTTCTTCTGCTTGCTTCCGTGCACCGAACACGTGGTGCATGTCGTCAGGTTTGAGAGTCCGTCGTAGGAACTTCTCAGCTGTAACAAGCCGGTGCCGACAGTCGATGAGTTTCTGCTTGTTGCCCAGCATCCGTGCCTTGAGGCAGTCACGGCTGAAGTTCTGGGCCAGTTTTCTTCCGTAGGGTGTCGGCCCGGGGGCGACATCGTAGACCATGTGGAATCACGTTGTGGTTCAGGCACTCACGGTTGAAGAGTTGATGGCATTCCAGGCGGACGATCTTTGTGGACTGGTTGAAGTATTCTCTCAAGTTGCCCAAGGCAGCAGAGCCGTACAAGGTGCGAATGAATGCAAAAATATTCCAAAAGCCGGGAATCATAATGGTCAAAAAAACTGCTCCGACTTTACTCAACAAGATTAACAATTTAATCAAACGTTACGTCTCTTATGCAGGAAACATCGTCAGTGAAACCTACAAGCAGGAATGATGGAAAAAACTTCAACAGTCCTATTTAAGCAAGTCCGCGTACACATCGGGGAGGGGGCCGCGGTTCCAGTTGCAAGCTGATGAGTCACTTCGGATGAACCATGATTCCACGAACCTGCGTGGACCCCACCTTTGTTCGCGCGCCAGAGTGGACGCATTCTCAAAGTCGAAACAGTGACCCGTATTCCAACAATGGTCTACGAGTTCCGTCTTCGCTCTTGTCGCATGCGTGGCCTTCGCCACGTCCCTTTTGTGTTCGTTTAAGCGAGTGCAGCGCTTCCGGCCTGTCTCCCCAATGTAGGATGCGTCACAGTCTAGACAATTCACTTTATACACAACACCCAAATTGAAGGATGTCCAATGGGCAGCTTAATTTCTGTTACAATGGCAAATCTGATTATGAAGTATGCGGAGGAAACTGTCCTTGAACAGAGTATGCTCCCGATAGGGTTTTACAAACGTTATGTGGACGACACTTTTGTAATTTTAAACAAGGACCATGTTGCTCACTTTCATTTAGCTTTAAACAACGTTGAGTCATCAATCCAATTCACACATGAAGTTGAACAGAACGGTGCGCTGCCTTTTCTGGATGTTAATGTGTTCCGACATAGTAACGGTCGCTTAGATACAACAGTGTACCGCAAAGCTTGCGATACAGGCAACCTCTTAAACTTTAACTCGCACCATTCTGTCGAACATAAAAGGGCTGTCGTAAAAACCTTACTACATCGGTCCGAACGCATTTCTTCTAATCCTCAATTGCGCGCTTCTGAAGATGCTGTTATTGTTGACCTGTTGATGAAGCGGAATTATCCGAAACGTTTTATTGATAACACGCGCAAACAGATGGGCCAAAGAAGAAGTCAGGATAATGGACGACTTAGGACAGGGCAGGTAGCAATACCCTATTTGAGAGGTGTTTCTGAGTGTATTCGCAGGGCCCTCGCCCCTTTGAATATCCGCACTGCTTTCAAACCCCAACGTAAACTACGTGACCTCATTTCTAAACCTAAAGATTACACCCCCCCAGAGTCCCAGTGCGGTGTTGTGTATAAAGTGAATTGTCTAGACTGTGACGCATCCTACATTGGGGAGACAGACCGGAAGCGCTGCACTCGCTTAAACAAACACAAAAGGGACGTGGCGAAGGCCACGCATGCGACAAGAGCGAAGACGGAACTCGTAGACCATTGTTGGAATACGGGTCACTGTTTCGACTTTGAGAATGCGTCTACTCTGGCGCGCGAACAAAGGTGGGGTCCACGCAGGTTCGTGGAATCATGGTTCATCCGAAGTGACTCATCAGCTTGCAACTCGAACCGCGGCCCCCTCCCCGATGTGTACGCGGACTTGCTTAAATAGGATTGTTGAAGTTTTTTCCCTCATTCCTGCTTGTAGGTTTCACTGACGATGTTTCCTGCATAAGAGACGAAACGTTTGATTAAATTGTTAATCTTGTTGAGTAAATTCGGAGCAGTTTTTTGTTCATTATGATTCCCGGCTTTTGGAATATTTTTGCAGTCGTCTAAGAGAGCAGACGACAAGCAGAAATGTTTGAAAGAGCAGACGACAGTTCGAAAGATCAGGCGGTCGTTTGAAGTTGAAAACGCACTGAACGTAGTCCGCTTGTGGTACGCACCACTTGACGTTCGTCTGGCGTTCATGTTGGAACAAAAGAAATAAATCTGATGACCACAAGTATCCGTGAATTCAACCCAAAGTGCTTCCCGCCAAACCAATCGTGGTCCGACGGCGTCTGGTTTTCCCTTTTCACGGAACATATCCACGTTCTCGGGCGAACCGGGCACATAAAATTTGACCTTCAAACATTTTCGACTCTTTTGGCACAACCCCAGTCGCGGCATTTTGACGAGAAGGCAGGTTTCTGACTGGTCCCTTTCAAAACAAAACAGGAATACACGTCTGGCATGGGGACTTCTGCCCACAGCCCCAGACCGAAAGTGCGACCGACGCGCCACCACCGCGCCCTGACATCACAGAGTTGAGTTCGTGTATACTTGCCCGTCGCCCCCAGAACTCTGACGCCTTTCCACGGAGACATCCACGAGGACATTGAAGACTGGCTGCACTATGGCTATGGTGGGCTACACTATGAGCGTGTAGCCCACCACAACGGGTGGACGACTGAGCAATGCCTCCACAATCTATACTTCGCGCTTCAAGGAACTGCTAGGCACTGGTCTGAAAACCACGAAGCGTCCTTCATTACGTGGGAGGGAGGCACATTAACCGTTAGGCCACGCGCGCGCTGCTTACTTGGCCGGCTGCGCGCGCGGCAATATTGTGTCCACTTGTCGGTTATTGTATTCCTCCGTGTCTTGGTTAGATTATGACCAAGCATGCAATGAAAACATTCCGTATCATCAAAACACAAAAACGCAGGTCATGGGCTCCCGCCGATAAAGCCATGCTTGACCTATTTTTATTAATTTTTTTTTATGAATGTTTGTTGTTGGTGAACGTCAAATAACTAGAAATAAACATCAATGCAAACCGCTACAGGAACTGATTGGACAGGCGGTACACAGCTATTAAGAATTAGCGATCCAGTATGCCTTCTTCTGGTGTGATTCTTTTACACGACAATGCCCGTCCGCATCTTGGAACAATTGTGCAGCATGGGTTAGCGCAGAAAGGATGGTATATTCTGCCCCCCTCCAGCTTACCCTCCCGATATGCCAGCATGTGAACCTGTTAGAAGGCTTTGTCAAGATCAGCCGTCCTTCTGTTGCCCCCGCTCTGACCCTAGAAATTATTTTTGCTTCGGAAAATTCAAGAACAATTTCCTTGGGGTTCAAGAAGTAGAGGAGTGTATGTCGGTCAGGTTTACTAAATATCTAGTCGTATAATCTTGGTATAATTTTTCGCGTGTCTCCCAGACGTATAGCGTATATTCGCGACAAAAATTATGTTCTCCGCACACCACATACCATGGCTAGAACATTCCACTGCTCAGTGGCGTGATAGCTCTCTTCCAATTATTTCATTTTTTTTCTTATAGCTACGATTATTAGCTTTTCCTCTGGTTCCCAAAGAGATCCTCTTTTTTTTTTTTGACGTCTTGCACGTTTAAGACCGGCACGCAATTAATGTTTTTACACCTTGAGAACAATAATTTTACATGCGCTGTTTAATGTGATATTATATGCGTAGCACGAGAATTAATAAAGAGAGCAAGCAAATAGGAAAACCACAATAATACAAGAGAAACGAGATTGTCGTTTATGAAGTTGACCTTCAGAATAATCGCCGAAAAAATTTAGAATCGCATTAATTTATTTCGTAGGCTCCAAGGACAGTTTCCAATATTGATATTGTGTTTGTATATTTAATTCGCGTAAAGAAAGCGTACGTACGCCAAGTAGAACTAAAAGCAAATTAAAGACAAAACACAAACAATGCCGAATAATATAAACATTGTAGGCGAAATTGCGTATGCTATAGCCTTTTTGCACCGCTCGTGCCTCCTCAATGTTTCTTATTACACCGCTTATAAGCTGCCGGAGAAAAACGAGGGGGAATGCGTATTTGTTGTCGGAATCCTTTAACCCAGGTAGCACACCCCGTCGGCTGGTATCGGGACTACGCCAGCCGGTCCTGGTAACAGGATAGCGGCGCCCAGCCATTGGCGCCGGTCAGCCACCGGCCCCGGCCGGCGTCGGGATTCCTTCTTGCTCACTGGCCAGTTCAGCTGTAGAAGTTACAGTGACTGGCCGGCATCGGGTTTTTGCTGTCTTTGCTCCCCAGCCATTCCATGGAGGTTCCAGTAACCGGCCGGCATCGGTATTTTAGAGCGCAGCTCTTAGGGGCCCGTTCCCGGCTTGAGCGGCATCGGCGTCGGCGTCGCCGTCGGCGTCGGCGTAACCAAGGTCACCCCGAGGTCACGCGGCCCCCAAGGTCATCCCAAGGTCACGTGACCCCCAAGGTCACCCAAAGGTCACGTGACCTCCCCGATGACGTCATCATTACTGACGACGTCACCGGCATCCACATCGCCATCGTCATCATCACTGATGACGTCATCAGTGACGTCACTGATGACCTCACCGGCATCCGCATCGTCATCGTCATCATCACTGATGACGTCATCAGTGACGTCACTGATGACGTCACTGGCATTCGCATCGTCATCGTCATCATCACTGATGACGTTATCAGTGACGTCACTGATGACCTCACCGGCATCCGCATCGTCATCGTCATCATCACTGATGACGTCATCAGTGACGCCACTGATGACGTCACCGGCATCTGCATCGTCATCGTAATCATCACAGATGACGTCATCAGTGACGTCTCTGATGACGTCACCGACATCCGCATCGTCATCATCGCTGATGACGTCATCGGAGTCCGCATCGTCATCGTCACTGATGACGTCACTGATGACATCATCGGCATCGTCACGTGAACCCCCAAGGTCACTTCACCCCCCCTCCCCCAGTACCCTTCCCTCCTCCTCAAGAGCTGCGCTCTAATTCGGTGTTACAGGGAGTTGTAAACGGCTTTCACTTTTTCTTTCCTGAATGGTCAGTATTTGCGTGGAAGTTCAGTGACTGGCAGGCATCGGCACTTTGTTGTTCAGGCTGGCGAGCCCCACCACGGAAGTCCCGTTTACTGACCGACATCAATTTTCTTTTTTGCCGTTTTCACTATGTAGTCAAGTCATTGAGATTCTGACGAACTGCGGCAATTCATGAGTAGC